GGCGCGGGCGCGCTGCGCGGCGCTCGGGGCGTTGGCGAGGTGCGCGTGCGCGGCGGAAGCCTTTACAAGAACATGGCTGTGCAGGGGCCAGCCGGCGGCCGCTGATGAGTGATCAGGAGTAAAGGGGCAGCAACAGAGGGCTGTTGGCACGGTTGGGACTTGTGTGGACTTTTTAAAGACGGTGGCACATAGCAAGGAGTTGTGGGTGCCGCGCGCGGGTGCTGCGCTTTTGGTGCGTGCCAGTCAGCGCACCCTGAAGCACATCCGCGCTCCGCCGGAGCCCTTGGCGATCGCAGAACCCAACCAATCACCAGTACTAGCGAACTCAACACCCCACACGCCGACGGGGAAAACGGAGCGCTGCAGCGCGCTAATTTTGGGACGAGGCCGGCCGCTGCCTTGAGCGCGCCAGCTGTGCTCCGGCGCTTCACTTTTGGGTGCACTGACAAACTCTGATCTTTGCTGCCGCGCCGGCGGCGGGGCCTATTCCTGCCACGGACATGTGGCGCTTGCTTTTGGAGGCTTGAGGGTGGAGGCACAGCCAGGAAAGGAGTGTACGAGTATGCTACAGGCATTTGCCGCCCTGTTTGGGCCGGAGGGTCTGTTGAGTGTGGCCGGGCGGTGCTTGGTGCGGGCTGGCTGCGCCGCCTAGGAGGCCCCTCCCCAAAAACCTGTCATGGTACCTGGACTAAGGGCAACTGCAGCAATGCAACCCGGCTTTTGTGAACCCAATTCAGGCGCTTCCTGGGGTGCTGCCTGACGCTTTGCGCGGTGCAGAGGTGTCTCAATCTGTTTGTTTGGTGCGACCATGGCGTGGGTCTGGCCCCGCTTGAGCTGTCGTGCAGTTACGCTGCCTGAGTAATTAACTGCCCAGGCCATCGCACTGCTTTTTCTCTGCTGTGTGCTGTCTTGACACAACGCTCAGCTACAGCCCTAAATCAGAGGAAGACTGCGGTGGGGCCAGTCAGGTTACACGTCGCAGGGTGCTACGTGCCGCCTAAGCGTCAGGCACAGCCAGCTCGCCGCTGTCGATCTGCAAGGCAGAAGCAATGCGTGCGGTTAAGGCTGGTTGTCAGTACGGGGCGCCATGTCTGAGAGCGCGACCAGCTCGTGCAGCTGGACGCTGCGTTAAAGCAACCCATCACACCCACATACGCAGGCGGGGCCCTGGCCAGCCCTTGATCCAATCCAGAGCACCCGCAATCCGATGCCGCCCGAACAAGAAGCTTTCCTAATCGTCCCGACAGCACCTGCCAGCACGCCCAGCCCAGGCAACGTCAAGCCTCACCTTGCCCATGACCTCCTGCGGGTGCATGTGGTCGATGGTGCAGCCGACGCTCTGCGCGGTGCCCAGCATCTCCTTGCAGGTGCCCGCCAGAGACTTGGCGACGCTGCGGGGCCGCATCACGCGCGCGATCTCGATGATGTCATCGAAGGTGATGTTGCCGGTGTGCTTGATGTTCTTCTCCTGTGGGCCACGACGCATCGGGGAAAGATTTGAGCAATAGTGAGGCCGATGACAAGGTGGTGCAGAGGTCCCGCAACGGCTCGATGCCCAAAACGAGCAGGCTGCGTGAGTGTGCAGCCGGAAGGACGGCTGCTGCACCCGGCCAGCTGCCAAGAGCGGAACGGCCTTCTGCTGCAGCCGCACGCCTTGCTCATCCGCACTCACTCATAGCGGCCTCTTCCCCATTCACCTCTTGGCTGCTGCCGTCTTGCCTTTGGCGTTGCCGCCCCCTTAAAATGCCCCGGGGTCCTCCAGCCCCTCCCTCTGCTCGCCCGACTGCCCCGACCCAACGGTCCCTCCCCCCCCCCCCGGCAGCTACCCCGCAGCTACCCCGCACCTTCTTGCGGTCCCTCACGGGCTCCTTGAGCGCCTTGATGACGAGCGCCGCCGCCGAGGGCACCACCGACACCTTGGCCTGCCTGTTCTGCACCGCGAGCTTCACGGTCACGCGCAGGCCCCGCCAGTCCTTGGCGGTCTCCTTGGCGATGTCCTCACCAATCTTCTTGGGGGACAGGCCCAGGGGACCGATCTTGGGGGCCAGCGACGACGCCGCGCCCACCTCGCCTCCGGTGACGCGCACGAACACCTCGATCACCTCGTTGGGGTCGAACTTGGGCGCCATGGTCGCCCTTGGTCCGGGTTAGTCGCGGGGGTGCGCCTGGTCGGGCGCAGGCGGGAGCAGGGTGGGGGCAAGGGCACGGTGGGCGTGCGAGGCATGCAGGTGTAAGACCGAAAACCTTGTGCTGCTTGACCTGGCAGCATCAGCATGTTCGCCGCCTGGCGCTGCAGTAGTGGCTGTTCATCAGGGCCGCCGCCAAGGGCTGGTCACGCTGCGCGACTGTGTCTGGCCCGGTTCTGATGCAGATGTGATTGCTGCGGCCAGAGCAGCAGCCGCCGACAGGCGTTGCGGCCACACTGCAGCAGCTGGGGCCACAGCTACGGCCAGGCGCCACCCCTGTGCGTGGCTGCCGCGACTGCCGACTTGCTGGCAACAGGCGCATCAGCTGATGCCCCTGACAGCCTGCCAGCGCAGCAAACAGCTGTATCAGACGCTCGTCATTGTTGCAGGTGGGGCCGCCGCCGCTGCCCAAGCTGCTGCATCCGCGCTGCACTGGCTGCGATGTGTCATAACATGCACCACTCTGTGAAACACTGGCCACGACTGTCCCAAACACACAGCATGCTGGTCAAGCCAGTCGCCACGCTGCTGCGAGCGTCGCAGCGGCCGCTGCTGGCGCAGAAGCAGCCTCCACTGCGGTTGCGCTGCCTTGGCAAGTGCCTGCCTGCACTGCAATATTCACTCCCTCCAACCAGTCTTCTGCTGCCATAAGCTCCTCGACGGAGGCCCAGCACCTCAGCAGATCGATGTGCTTGTTTCTGTCCGCACACGGCAACCTCAACGCCTCTGTCCTGCCTCAAATCAGAAACTTCTGCCACGTTGCCTTGTCCTGCTGCTGAGTGAAAGCCTGCTCCACGCTGCTGTCGTGTGCTGCCGCCGCAGCACTTCCGCCCTGGCTGATCCCAGAAGCACTGCAGCTGGCTATCAATGCTAGCATGCAAACATTTTACATCCTTCGCGCAGGACGCAAGCTGACAGCGTCCCACAGCCAAGCCGTCCGCGCATTCCCGTCCGGGCATGCAGCGCCTTCAATTTGCACGGCGCTCACCTACTAAAACAGGGCGTCACAGACCGAAAGGACCGAGCACCGCGCCTTCCGCCGCTCATGGGCGCGCAGCACAAGCCAATGGCAGAGCAACAGGCGCCGCAATGTCAAACTTGGACATCAGGTGCATGCAGCGCAAGGCCATCAGGTTACCCCTCATCCGCCATGACAATTCCAAAAAGAAGCGAGCAAGAGGCTTGCAGTGCACGCTTTCAGTGCACACTATCAAAGGCATTGCAGGAACCATGCCACCCCAGACCCTACCTGAAGCCCCCGCGCCTGTGCGCTGCGCCGAGCATGAGCAACTTCGTTTGTTAGCACATGCACCAAGAATATGTCGAAATGCACGACTGTTCCACAAACTCAAGCGATGGTCCCCTCCATCCCAGCCAGGAGCGACCGCCCCCTCTCATCGTCCGACCCACAGGGCACACCCGCCCCGCCGGGTCCCCCCCCCCCCCCCCCCCCCCCCCCCCCCCC